CAAACGGCCGATTCCTTTTACTTCATTTTTTCAAATTTCAATAAAAATCAAGCTATTTAAAAGACAACTAGGTTAGAAACTATGGAGAATTCGATGAAGATGCTGAGAAGGTCGTCCAAAGGTCTCCAAAGTTTTTGCCTTGAAGGCTCTTGATAGCAATGAGGTGGTGTGTGTTTCTAAACAAAACATATTAAATTATTGATTAACTCACTGATACTACGAAGAAAATCGTCACACTTTCTCCAGTCATCGCCGAAACTTCGTAAGGTCGTGTAGACGAGAACACTGAGGTATTTCGTCGGGCACTTGGGCCTGCACAGTTCGAAGAGGGCGGCCATGTCATTCATGGTGACTCGATCCTTGAAGTTCTCTGGTTCAGTCTGATCGTTGTCATCCACTTCCATTTCTTATAGTAGCTCGTCCGATGAGTCATCAGCTTCAGTGGCAGGATCACTTTGCGGTAGAAATGTTCTCGATGTTGATCTCGAGTGACTTTGACGTCTCGTAGGTAGTGCCATAACAATTGTTTGCAAATAAATAAAGAATGATTGAGAATTAGAAAGGCAATTAACCGTTAGTTCCTCTAGATAAGTGCTAAAAGGTTTCAGCGCAATCCCTGCGGGATTACAATGTGGTACGCGAGACAACTGATTGTATACTTGAGGAGAAGTTTTTCGCACGATTCATACGATTTTCCAGAGGTCTGTCACGATCTCTGATGAGGACGAAATAACATCTATGTATGTGTCTGTGAAGTATGCGAAAAGGTCAAAAGAACATCAGTCGAGGTCTATGACGGGGTCAAAAGAACATGTGTTTGTCACTGTCCGTGACTCATTCAGAATCGTGTTCTACAAAATTCAATCCAGAGCAAAGTATGAATCGCTTTGATATTTCTGTGATAAAGGTGCACGAGAAATACATCAAGGCCCTCCGAAGGTGTTTTGGAGACCTTGGACGACCTTCTCAGCATCTTCATCGAATTCTCCATAGTTTCTAACCTAGTTGTCTTTTAAATAGCTTGATTTTTATTGAAATTTGAAAAAATGAAGTAAAAGGAATCGGCCGTTTGGCATGGGTCTGAGTAAAAGGTGAATATCTGAGCAATGAAAAGGAATCTAAAAATCTGTTCGTATACTTTTGTAGAGGAGCTCTCAAGGAATCTAACCATATAAAAATGTTGGCTCTAGGACCTTCAGGGAAACCTGTGATAGGTTTGCAAAAACGGCAGGACCGTAGTGGCCACTGTTTCTTCGAGAATTTTCCTTGAAGAGACTTTTCGGACTAGGACTTCAAAAGGTAGTTTTTCAGATTCAGTTTTTTATGCTGAATCTGATAAACTTAGTTTTCGGGCTCAAAATCATGAGGGGAACATTTTACAGCGTTTTTTACAGAAAGTGACGAAAAAACGAAATTTTTAGTCTTCTCCAGTATTTTGAGTGCAGCTTCGCCAAGGAAGGGTTTTGAGAGGCGGGGTCGATCACTATTCGTGATCGTCGTTAAATTCTCCATCGGATGGTATATCAAACGTCGAAAGCTATTTTTTGCTGCAAGACTGCTTTGCGTGCATCTTAACTACCTGCATATAACTGAAGCGATTGCAGTTTACGATTATGTCAGCTTATTTTCACGTTAGCTCTCCCTTCTCTTTCGTTTAACTCACACTATATATTCCACATCTGTTGTGCAGTCTTCAGTAGAACACGTTTCGCCTTACTGGGATCGTCTTGATCTCATACATATATAAAAGCATATTAGCGTAGTCCCTTCCGGAGTAAAATGTGTAACTCTTCTGCCGCGACCCTATAAATATTGCTATTGAAACGACATTCAACACACTGACAATGTGTGCGAGCAAAAATTAATATTTCATCAACGTATATACACGGCAAAAAAAAAGCGTCGAATAAAGCGACAAGTAAAAAACGTCCAGAAAAATCCATACAAAAAAAACATCGAGTGGAAATGCATACCAAAAAGGCGTCCAGTAAAATAAGCATTCACAAATTTTCGTATTAAAAATAACGTCAGCTCATATTTCATACTAGAAAACCATCTAGTCAAAAAGCGACCGGAAAAAAAAGCAACGAAGAGGAATATACTTTAAATGGGCCAACAAGATCTATAGTCTAGGCTGGAGGGGAATGAATCTCAAAATGACGACTTCTTTTGTTTCTTCTGTTTAATCAACGCGGCCACAAAATTCAGTTTATCGAAACGTACAAGAGGAAATTCGGAGCCGCGTCACCTTTCCTGTCAAGTTATGATCGAGTTTGGATGTGTCGCTTCTGATTCTTGCTGTCACAATGCATCAACAGTTCTTCTCAACAGTCCATGATTTTCATGTTTTAATTTTCTTCTAACTTGATGTGTTCGCCCGCTTCGCTCTAGAGTAAACTCAATATGAATCTTAACAAATTTAAGGACCTGCCTTGTCCTGCGTAGCCATAGCGTGATGTATAGGTTGTGAATCCTGACAGTGGCGTAATCGTTTTAGTATTTGTTTTAGATACCAATTTGTGGTATATGTAACCAATATTCTGTTTGAACAGAAAGGGAATTGTTTAAGGGCCCCCCCCCTCAAAAAACAGGTTATTTTGGTGAAATTTATCGATTTTTTTTAAAATAGCGTATTTGATAGAGCATCACGTCCGCTATCGAATGCACTATAGTTTCCTAATTTTACGATAGATTTTAAGGGTTTCACACAGGCTTTTCTGAAAACCTCTACCAGAAAAGACGACATTTTTTCGTTATTTTGCGTTTTTCTCAAAATGAGATTTTTACTTTTACGTTTTCGTGCATCCGAGATTTCTCCGCCATTTTGAAAGCTAGAAAGCTCGGGTTTGTTTTAAATCATAGCTAAAGTCTGATACTACAACTTAACAGAGCCCGATTCTTCGATTTCAGAATTGACGTCAGATGAAGAGAAAATGTTTGAGATCCTACACCCCAGTAATTTCATATCGTGATGTAAAAGTTCTGCAAAAAATGAACTACAGAGAAATTAAAAAGTCGGTCTCTATTAAGTTGTAGCCCTACATCTTAGCTACATTTTAAAACGAACCCGAGCTCTCTAACGTTAAAAACGGCAGAGAAATCTGGGACGGACGAAGACCCATTTTTAGACCTTAATTGTGAGCTAGCTCTTGATAGGTTTAATATTTCGAGCTGAAATTTTTTCTGTGAGGTCATCATACCTAGATACACCATCTCTGAAAGTTTCATTAAGATTGGATGCTCGTAAGGAGAAATGGATTTTTGGGTGGCGGGTGGGCCTTAAACATATTATCGACTATCATAAAGAAAACATTAAATGTTCTGTGTGTCACGCGCCGTTTACGCTTTATAACTCATATTCAAAACATGTGAAAAGTGTGAGTTATTTATGTGTACGGTTCTTTTTTTGTAGAGATCTGAACGCTTTTTTTTCTCTCTAACATGTTAATGCTAAAGTTAAACCTACTGTTATTAGCATTCCGATAACACTAGGCGCCTGTACTACTTCAAAAATCGATCAGTCTTTCCTGTCATTTGATACGTCTAATGGCAACGACAGTGCTTATGACAGTTATTCATTTCCAAGATGTACAGGAACGCATACACCATTTTATCCTGATTTATTTGTGGGGGATCAATGGCTCAATTAAATACATACAATTAACAGCTTGAAAGATATTCAACAAATTTCGGTCGATCAAAGAGAAGCAGAACATCGGTTAGTGGGCAGCATTGTCAGATTGTTTCATGATTTAAAATTGCACAGCGCTTCAGAAGATCTAATTCAATCAACGATGCAAAATTTGCTGTACACGCTAGAAAACTTTTCAAAAGTAAAGGTGAGCTTTTGTTTTGTTTTCCATCGAGTTGCTCGCAAGCTGTCTTCCGTTATTTTTGTAGAATCAAACCTTTTTCATCGAACATCTGCTCGACCGTTTTGGTACATGTCATCGTCGTCGAAATTATATACGAAATACTTTGAATTTGAGCCAGTACCCATTCTAATGGGACAAGCAGTAAGGTCGAGGCACAAGAGAAATAAATAATTTGAAACAGTTCCTTATTGTCTCAGTTTGGTCTGACACAAGCGCAGTCGAGTTGAGTTCGTTTTGTAGGCTATATAAGCAGTCAAGGTTAGTAAGATACAAAAACGTGAAATAAAGGAAAATAAGAGATGGACGAGAAAATTTCTAATTTTTTTATTCCTTTTACAGGTACAATTTAATCGAAAGCGTCGACGCTTTGTGACAGTAAAACACAATGGTTATTACATTCCATTATTACGAACGATTCAAATGATGTTCGCGATGCCAAATATTCGACAAGCACATACGAATCAGTCGGTATCACCTGACAATGTAATGCGGGATTTTATTGATGGTGCATTTTCGAAGCGACATGAATTTTTCAAAGATCCATCAAAATTAAAAGTTGTTCTCTACGAAGATGGAATTGTAGTTAGAAATCCATTACAAAAAAAAAGCCGTGTATTATCATTATTTGTTGTGTGAATATGATTCAGGAAGAGGTAGTCTGAAAATCACTCGACAGTCTTGGATCGCTGTTAACTTTTGGTTTTTGCTACGAATCCATTCTGGATATAGCATTTACATCAGATAAGCGCTTTTTTGAAAAGGTGTGTGCTATAATATGTTCCCAAAAGAACAAATGAAGAAATCAGTAACAAAAACATGCTTGCTATTCTTTTTTTTCAGGAACATTCCGCTCTCTTTCATATCTTAGCACTTATCAATGTCACGCATTCGATGAAAAGGATTGATTGCAATAGTCGACAGGTGCAAAGCAGGAAAAGAACATGATACGTGCTTAAAAAACGCACAAACAAGACATAATGACTCAACTAGAGATACATGATCAATGACTAGGACAAAAAGATGCGAAAAAACTTTATTAAAATAAAGAAACCAAAAGTTATCGGCGATCAAAGACTGTCGAGTGATTTTCAGACTACCTCTTCCTAAATCATATTCACACAACTACCACTTTTTTCCGAACATCATCAAGTTATCATTTTGTGATTGACTGATATTGTTAAATAATACATGGAAGTATGCAGTTTCATCTCCTCTTTCTAACGGTGAAAACCGCAGCTCTCCATCTCATTCCTATCAAAAGTTATTCGCAATCAAAGACTGTCCGGTGACTTTTAGGCCACCCTGTAGAATGGGTTCGTAGAGAGACTCTTTGTCAACTCTTGTATCTCGTTCAAAGCTAGAAGCTGTGTAAGACCAAAATATACGGCTTGATAGAGAATTGAACAGGCTATCCAATGATATTTTTGCTTGGCCCTCGATGCTGAGTTTTGGTGGAAAATTATCTGAAATACAGTTGCAAACTTTTGCTTTCCAGGGGTATGTTATTCTTTTGACTCAGTCTTTCGTACCGAGTGAAGCATGTCATGTGCATGTATTCATTCCTTTATATAACTGTAAATCTGTGGACAAGTAAAATGATTATATACAGTTCTTTGTCAACTCGTTGGAGCGTTTTCTCTTTCGGCTAAAAAATATGTTTAAACTCATCCTCCACTTTTACAGTCTCAGTCCACACTCTCACCCTCATCCGCTCAAGATTCCGCTCAAGATTCTTTTATTTATCAATCTGAATCTATAATTTCTTCTTTACAATTTGAATAATTGTTTTCACACTTTGCAGACGAGAATCGTTTGCATGCGCTGAAATTTCGAAAATCTTTAAGGCAGGTTCAAAATGTGAAAGTGCTTCTGAATACTTTCCGATGCAGTAATACACCGAACCGACATTGTGGTAGAATGTAGCCAATGAATGATGATTTGAAGGAAGAGTTTCTTGACCAATTTCGAGTGCTTTTCCGTGAAACTCCAGTGCTTTCGCGTACTCTTCCATTCTGTAATACAGCGAAGCGATACGGTTGAAGAAACTCGCCATATCAGGATGCTTTGGTGGAAGAGTTTCTCTGAAAATTTCGAGTGCTTTTTCATAAAACGAAAGTGCTTTGGAATCCTCTTTCATTTCGACATGAGTCGAACCGACATTATGGTAGAAAGTAGCCAAATCATGGTCGTTTGGAAGCAGAGTTTCTTTACTAATTGCAAGCGCTTTTTCGTGTAACAAAAGTGCTTTTGGATATTCTTTGATGTCATAGTACAGTGAAGCGATTTTATGGTAGGTAATAGCCAAATCAGGATGACTTGGAGGAAGGGCTCGTTGAAAAATTCGAAGTGCTTTTTCGTGAAACTCAAGTGCTTTGGAGTACTCTGCCATGTTGCAATACGCCACAGCAATGTCATTGCAGACTATACCCAAATAAGGATGACTGACAGGAAGAGTTTTTTCCAAGATTTCCAACGATTGTTGGTGAAAACACAGTGCTTTTGAATGTTCACCTCTGTCGCTATACATTTTGGCTGTGTTATAGTGAGACAAAGCCAGATCAGGATGATTCTGAGGAAGAGACTTTTGTCGGATTTCCAGTAGTTTTTCGTTAAATGCGAGTACTTTTGAATCTTCCGTCATGTCTTCAAATATATCAGCGATGTTGCTGAAGAGAATGGACCAGCAAGGCTGATCTGGAGCAAGAGTTCTTGCATACGTTTCAAGTGCTTTTGCGTAAAAAGATGCGTTCGATGATGTTCTTATGCTGTCATCCGCTGTAGCAATGCTGTGATAGTTGGTTGTTAAGGACTCATAATCCACAGGAAACGTTTTTTCGTCAATTTCAGGTGGTTTGTTGTAAAATACAAGCGTTCTGGCACACTCTCCTGTTTTGCAGCAAATGAAACCACTATTGTTGTGAGATGTAGGCAAGGAAGGATCGTTTGCAGGGAGCGTCTTCTTCTCGATTTCAATAATTTTTTGACCATAGGAAGCAGCTGCCTCAGAATCACCTTGGTCATATTTGATATTGAAAAGTTGGTTGTAATATTGCACTCTATCACGATCGTTGGACGTCTGTTCGAGTAGTGTGTGGTAAAGTTCTTCGGCCTTGTCCAAGTAATTCATTCGAAGCAAAAAGTTAGCCAGTCGGTCCCATCCTGTGTTACCTACAATCTGATTTGCTATATGGTTGGTGAGTATACGAAGTTCTTCATCATCATCTGCAGTCAGTTGAAGAGCTAAACTGCTAAAACGACCACTTTACTACAACTGTTGTCAGTTCATTCAATTGTCTGTTTCATTTTAATGATCTTAAAGGTGTCCCAGAAGTTAATCATTCACCCTTGCATGCCGAAACAGCAATATGCGTATTAAAACAATAATTAATTGTCGTTTTTTTGTATATCAGAGATATGAAAACTTGTTTACTGTAATGATATAATTAAATATCCTAACATACAATATCACTTTTGGAAAACAATAAGAAAACTGTAATATCTTGTTGTACTCCAAATCAGTTAGAGAAAATCAAATTCCTTTCGGGACGAACGATCCTACTGATACAAACTTCTAGAACAAGTTGCTAGACGAATGTTAGAAGCTTTTACCCATACTAATGATTTTAGTAAACATATAGCATCATTCACGTAGCGTAAAATGGGTATTTTGGGTTTATCTTCCATATGGTTTGGACTATAGCAAGTCTAAGGTTACCAATTGATAGGGCTCGTGGAGTTTGGAACAGTTTGGACATGTTCCTAAACGAATATGGGAAGGTTTTACTCGAATATGGTGCTAACTTTACCTACGTGTCACACTGCCACATGACTGTATATATGTACGTCTGTCACACTGCCACATGACTATGTGTATGTACGTCTGTCACACAGCATTCGAATGTTATGTGGATGTACGTCCGTCACAGTCATGTGTTGTGCGCTAGACACCGCCATCTAACACTCTGCTTATCTATTGGACCACAGGTGAAATGCTTATCAATTCTATATATATATTCCTCTTTGTCTGCTTATTTGTAACCACACATATTTTTTTACATCTTTTTCCTTAACACAAATAACTGAAAAACGATGCCACCAAAACGTTCAAGTAGGTCGGCAAAAAAATTGAAAACAAGATGAACAACCATCAAGCAGCAGCGATACTGATCACTATGAACAACTTTGGCAGAAAGTAAATGATCATCTGAAATCAAAAGCTAAATATCAGAATAGTGATATCTCTGGGGGGAGTAAAGATAGTATGAAAGGAGCTGAAAAACGTTTACGTGGTATTATATGAGGGACTACCCGAACTCACTAAAATCAATGAAGAAACATTTGAAAATATGTCTGATAAGTATGATATTCGGAAACGAAATAGTTCACAATTAATTGTCATGGATGATCAATTAGCGCGAACGCTTTGGCGACGTTTAAAATTTAGTAATAAATTAACGAAATTAGTTTAAAACTCAACACCACAAACGAAATGTCCGTCCGTCCGTCCGTGTACAATAGTAGAGTAGTGATACCTGACGCCACTTGAGCGTAAATTAGCGACATATTGACATTCGAGGAGGAAAAACACGTAATTACTACTTTTCTCAACAGCAGGACATCCTAGATCGGCGAGCCCTGAATAAAAAGTGTCAGAGATTTAATTTCACATATTTTATCTGCTGGCACCAACTTCGTGGCGATCTGCAATCACGGACTGTTGGATATGCGTTATGTTGGAGTTGGTTGATT